GGTCATCTTTTGTATTCTTTAGTGAATTTTTTTTATAGAATGAGCATTATTTAGTCACAAAATATGTAAATACTAAAAACTTATAAAATACAAGGATTTAAAACTTATCTTGTAAACGCCCATGAGTAACTTCATATTGCAACATGTAAAAATTATGTTTATTTATATATCATTAGTTGTATTTAATTTTATCAAATATATTAGTTATTGATTGAGTATTACTTTTGTCATTTTTTAAGAGCTAAATGCATAACCAACCTGTGCAAATAAAGGAAATTTTTACTAATCAACATTAAAATAAATTTCATATTATATAGATTAAATGTATATGCATATATTGTGTGTATATTAACGTCATTTTTGTTTTCTATCTCACCACACTTCGCATTCCTTGATCTGGCCCTGATCTTCCAAATGTAGGTGCTAGAAATCCAACGATGGAGACACTCAAATAGTTGAATTATGTTGTGCAACCAATGATGATAATATTGGATATGCAAGTGAAGATATTGAGATACAAAGATGTCCCAATGGTGAAAATTCTTTGGGAAAGTGGTAGAGTTGAGGAAGAGGCTGGACAAACGGAAGCTATGATTATGAAGCATTAGCATTTTTCACTATCAATGCGAATAATTGGTGATAAAATTCTCGTTAGAAGGGGGTGAACGTGTGACACCACACTCGGTTGTGCATGCATTAATTACTCGTGATTAATAAAGGTATTTTGAACTATTATTATTATTATTAATGGTAGGAATCATTAGCAGATTTAGTTAATACTACTTCTGTCCCACTATGTTTGGGACAAAGGGTGTGGCGCAACTTTTAAGAAAAATTGGAATTGTGTGGTTGGTATTGAATTGACAAAGTGTGAATAAAGTAAGAATGAATTCTAACCACCCAAATATTACCAAATATGGTATGAGACAAACTTAATGGGACGGACGAAAAAGGTAAAACGGGACAAACTTAGGGGGACAGAGGGAGTAATTGGTTACTCAAATTGAGTATCACTCTATCAGACTCCATATGTCGGGTGGACTATCCAATAAACATTGTTAGCCCAAAATAATAAGGGGTGGAAACGTGCATCAGATCAGATTAGTATTTACAAGAGATTAGTATTTACAAGAGGAGGAGGCCAATGACCCAAATACAACAAAGATGGTCCACTTTACTTATAATTTTAGAGATATGTGTGGGAGTCTCATCTCATCTCATTTTCATAGTCATGTTCGAACTATTGGAGGTGGAGCACAACAAGAGCCTTCATACAAGCAATGAGGGAGGAAGAAAATAAGAGGACGAAATCCGATAAAGGGAAACAATAACTACCGGTCAAAATTCATATAAACTTTGTGTGATTAAAAAATCATTTGATAGATTCAAGATGTTTCTCTGATCGAGAACAAATATGGACTCAATAAGATTTGGAATCACTAGAATCACATCGAATTGTTGTTTTTGTATACTCGTTCTTGCTACTTTATGGAGTACTTGAGGAGAGCATGATCATTTGTTATAATCTAGGTGTTTTGATGTTATTTAAATTGTAATTTCATGTTATCTTTAGTCACAAGTACTTTATTTTGATTAAAATGAGCGTTACAGACAAAATAAAGTTCAAAACCCAAACAATTAGTAAGAATGGAAATATATCTGATCCTATATGGTGATATTCAATGAGGTTTTCTCTAGATAAATGTAAGAGTAGGGTGACTCACACATAGGGAAAACATACTCTCATGGTCTTAATCGGAGGGAATATAATAGCTGCATCGTACTCGTGAGAATTGGAAGCAAAAAACTCATTTTAAACTCCATTACTTGTACTGGTGAAAATTCAGATCTTGGTATGTTTATTCATATATTCATACATTCAAGAAAAATCATTGCACTCTTTTATTGTTTCATACTTGCAATTTTCAAAACTTAAACATTATAAAAACAATTGTTTGCATGCGGACCAACACAACATTTTACCACTATTATTATTACTATCGAGGGTTTAAATCACTTCTCACTGAATTTCCACTGCTAGGGTTTTTTTCTACGTTATCGATTCTTTCGAGGAGCGGCCGTCTTCCCTACACCTATTAGGGTTTTTTGTTCCGCCGATAGAGCTTCGTTCGTGCGGCTGGGTTTTTCGTGGAAGAGAGCTTCGTGCGGCTTTCCTCTTTGTAGTTTCGAAAAGTGAGTGGAGCGCAAGGGCGGTGAGGCGCGGCTTGGATTTTTGTGGGCGAAGAAACATAAAGCAACATGATAGAGTTTTATTCGGCACCTCGGACATGAATTTCAATGGCAAATCTCAAGGAGCAAATGGGCGAGCGCAAGAAGAATATGGTTTCAAACGAATTCTCCGGGGGTTGAAATACTCTTCTATCATACTACAACGACTCGCCCTTCTCTGGAACTACCTCCTTTCGTAATACTTATTTTTATTTCAGCTCGAGCGGGTGTGGTTAGAGTGTTTTGTTTTTTGAAGAACTTTTGATAGGTAGTAATTCATTTTCGATCGTTTTAGGCTTCTTCTTGCCCGTTTTGTGTCTAGCGAGTCGGGTTGCTTTGTATGGGTGGTTGACTCTAAGTCTATTCATAGGGCTTACGATCGGATCTTTAATAATTGTCTGGGTTTTTGTCTTGCGTGTTTGCTCTATATTAATGAAGAGTTTTGAAGTTGGAGATAAGGTATTTTTGAAGGTAAGGCCTCATCGACAGTCTACAGTATTTCGTCATCATCACAAGTTGTCACAGCAAATTTTATGGATATGTTAGCGGGACGTAACATATATATCTTCCCATTTTTAAATCTTCCCTTCATACCCTCAATAATTTAAAAAATAATACACTATTACACCTACTTTTTTTGGATTTATCCTTCATTCCTTCACATTATTTCACCATCTTCCCATCATACCCTCAATAATTCATACCACATTTCACTATTCTTAATCTCACCCACTTTGGAAGTGAGAAGATATATGTGATACGGAGGGAGTAATAAATAATCTTTCAGGATTGGGTGAGGATTGGGTGAGCCAGAGAGTGAGAGAAGATAGACGAACCCCAAAAAAGAAAGAGCATTTTCAGGCATTGAAAAGTTTCCTGAAGGGGCCGTCTTTTCGATCTTTGGCAACTTCAGTCAAGGCAAGGAACCTTTTAAAAGCGTATATAAGAACTTGCATTTTTTTATTCTAAAATATGGTACATGCGTATATATACCAGCTATTACTACGTGCATATTAATAGTACATGCGTAAAAATGAAAGTAGTAGTCCATCTCATCTCATCACCTTTATTAAAAAAATGGTACGTGCATATATATACCAGCTATTACTGCGTGCATGTTCTGCTATAAAAGCACGCCTCCAGTTGCAACTCTCTCGCATCTTTTAGCATTATGCTCTCATTATATGTTGCAGTATCAAGAGTTACAATCGTCATGGTTTGAAAATTTTAATTTGTGATGAAGATGAAGGGATCACAAACAAGATTCAAAATTTTAATGTAGTGTTATATTATATACGTTTATGTAATGTTACTTTCTTTGTTAATTTCTTTTCCCCGTCATTTCACCAATACTTGGTACTCTACATGTAATAATTATATTATTGGTGCCAACCTGCGTTATTTTTGTTAATTCATTCATGTTTGTGTTACTTTAAAACTTATATCAATTTTGCTACGTCATACATTTTGTCCTCACACAATTATATCTTTTTTATTTTTTGCCGCACAAAAAGCAGAAAAAACATTACAAACCGTGGGTGAATTACTAGTAACACTATAAAAAGCAACTGAAAGAGGTTTTACAATTGGAGAATCTCGTATTTTAAATAAAAGTACACATAAGTATCAACCAAAACTAATGAGTAATCTATAAATATTATATGAAAACATTTATAGCAGAACATTTTGAAGTGAAATAATTAACCATAGCATCAGCATCTATCTTTTCTAGCATTTCAATTTGAATGCTTAATCCAACCAATCCACGCATCCAGTCTTCTTGCGACACGGTTGGCTCACTGGCTATAAATAACTGCTGGGAATTTTTAACGTTGAGAAATTTCTTTCCTTCCACAACAATTGTATATGTATAAGGATTTCAGAATTAAAAGGCCATAACCCCCACGAAACAACAATCAATACATTATAATATAATGGATGCATTTATACTTTGAAGAGTTGGAATTATGCCATCATATTAAGTAACCAACAACAATTGTGTGAATAAATAAATGTTTTATTCACATACAAAAAATGTATTTGAATAATGTATAAATGAAAAAAGAAGCATATTTAAATGAAAATATTGGGTCTAAAAATGAAAAAAGAAGAATACTCAAAACATACATAAACAAATACCCGTAATATAGGACTTTAATTTTTTCCGTGCCTAGGGCGGCCCCCTATTGCAGCCTTAGCACCACATCTACACATTGTTGTAATTAACAACAGATTCCATTATTATATTAACATTAGTATAGATAAAGATTTCACTTTTATAACTTTAGATCAAGTCAAACAACAAAAGGTTAAATACATAGGAAGAACTAATTCAAAGAAATCAAACAACCAAAAGGCTTGTTTGATTAAATGAAAAGTAACACCCTTTAAACGAGGCAAAAGGTACTCGGATTTGTTTCCTAGTCCTATTAGCCGATCTCATCATCATTGCATTATTATCAATTATTCTCGGTTTACGGTAATTTCAAAAGACGGAAGTCACATGGAATAATAACATAGCGTAGAGAAGAAATGTGGAAAAAAGAGGTCAATAATAGCCGCCTAATCTTTACGTAAATTGGGCATAAAACGCGGGTGTTTGACAGCCACTTTCTAGAAGACAGCGTATCCGTTCTGCCGAATCGTGCGTAACAAGTTAAAATAAACAGAACAATGGAACACCCGCCCCCATCCCATGCCTCCAACCCAACCACAACAATCGTTAAGCACCACCCTGGCCGTTACGTCACCGTTACCGTCAATCTACACGCCGTATATATACAACACCCCCTTCCTTCTTCTCAATCTATTACTAGTTCTGCCAAGCCAGCATCAATCCACATTCGATCTCTCGATCAAAATGCAGAAAATGGAAGAAGAAGATCTATACTTCAGTCCCAGCTTCAACAGTAGCTACTCATCACATTTATTTGTCAAAAACACCGGAGAATCCCCAGATGATTTTGAGCCGCAAAGTTCTAATTATAAGCCTGCCGAATCTGTCGCCGCGGAGTACCATAAAGAGGAGGAGGATGAAGGCAGTGATGATTTTGAATTCTCTTTGGTTCCAGAGCATTTCGAGGCCGTTTCAGGTGATTTCCTCTACGGCGGTCAAATTGGCACGGCTTTTCCAGTCTTCAACCGAGATCTGTTGTTAGATGAAGGTTTTGTGGTGCGAAATCGGGGAGAGGAAGGTAAGGAAATTCGCATTCCAAATGGAGTTGATAGGCCGGTTCGGATTCCGTTGCGGAATTTGTTCCTAGGAGAGAGGGAAGAAGGAGGTACTCTATGTTAGAAAAATAGTATAAATAATGCGAGTTCAGTCAGATAAAATCCCGAGTTTAATCACAAATCACCAGACAAACCACCAAATGCAAGAACAAATAAAATAATAACAACAATTAGATATAAAATATTAATGTAAAAAGTAAAGAAAGAAAGACTTAGCGTAAGATCGTCCGTTAACCGGACTGGCCTTGAAGAAAGATAGCCCCCGTATCTCGATAGCTACTCGAACGGGACTGGCCAACTCGCTCCCAGGATAATCCTACACCGTTTCAGACTTGTAGCTACCTTGACTGAAACCTTCGACCGTTGCCCAATATGCCGTAGACTCGTTAAGTAGATAAAAACTTTATGAGGATGCTATGGATTTAATATGCTCTCGGTACAAGGGTAAAATCAGTGAAAGAAAAAAAAATGAAGCCTTTTCTATTCTTCTCAGTGCTCTGTATTGCGTAAGTAAGCCAAAATGAATCGGAGTGTAGACTGGCTTTTATTCATACGTATGTGTATTAATAACCGAGAGCATGCATGTGGATAGATTTTTAAATTTGGAAATCAAAATAAAATATATCAATTTGAGTGCGGTCCTATCAATTTGCATCCACCATCCAAGAAATTAGGATCACAAACAATATTGACCAAGCTCACACCTCATACATCGGACACTCACTTCAAAATTTCAATTTTGAAACTTCCGAAATATGTTTAATAGCCACATGCGTATTTATCATTATAAAATGATAAATAAAACATAATTTGAACATTTGTTCTAAAATTAGATAGGCCACTAGCTTGAAATTACATCCCAGACATTCTTATTCCGTACTCATTTAATTTTATCTGTACGAATAAGTGATTCTCATAGGATAATTTCTAAGCCACTTTATATGATACTTGAATAACGTTCCTTTATCATATAACATCTAAAGAAGACCAATCATTTTATAAATAGAACAAAAATTCTCAATACATCACTTTTACAATCTTTACAACTATGGATTTTAATCATTAAATGATATAAATCCAAACGTAAAAAATTGTTCTTTGATGTATAATAAGCCACACTCAATTCATATTTTATACATATTATTTTAGAACTCTAAGAGAACTAAAAACAATAACATTTATATCATCATTTTTCCAACAATCCCCCACAAATCCATAGTTGTAGACTAGACTCTAACAGACATAGTGTGCTTTCGAATATGGTACCTTCCGGTTTGAACCAACTTCTAAGCTTTTATCCCTAACCCCCACAGGAACTGAGTGAACAGAGTTCTTGAACTCGAACCTTGATAGTGTTGGCGTGGGATAAAAGCAACACACTAATGGCAATGGCAACGATCTATAGGGTTGACGCTTTACGGCCGTGCGTCCCGATCCTGTCTCAAGAATGTCATCGAGAATTAACCCCTATTCTCTTATTGCGGCCACACAATAACATTCTCATAGTTGGGCATCTCCAAGAGTGCATTGCTAACACTCTGCTATTAATTAAAGCTCGATCCCATTCAGAGTCTTAAACTCTTACTTACTTAGCAATTTCAGCATCTCTCAGGCTTATCAAGGAATAGAACTCATTAAATATTTTAATGAGATGCACAGTTCACTCTACAGTTTGTTTATACCACATTGAACCTACTTTGTGGGATCTCCACTCAGATAGGTTGGGTTGCTACCGTAGTTGAATAATTGTTGGGTTTCAGTCCCATTCCTAACCTGGATTTTATCACTTGATTTAAATCAAGTCCTTTTGTTAAAGGGTCCGCTGTATTATCTTTGGATCCAACAAAATCAACAGCAAACACCCCTTGAGACACAAATTTCCTTATAGTTTTTAATCTAACTTGAATGTGTCTCCTAGTCTTTTGATTATACTTGGTACTCCTAATTTTTGTAATTGTGCTCATACTATCACAATGCAAACAAATAGGTGGAATTGGCTTGCTGAATATAGGTAACTCAGACATTAGTCCCATAAACCATTCAGCCATAATTCCAGTAGTATCCAACGCACACAATTCAGCCTCAAAAGTAGACCGAGAAAGTATTGTTTGTTTAGTGGACTTCCAGGCAACGGCCCCACCACCAAACGTAAACACATAACCGGTACATCCATAACTCCCGGAGTTCTTAGCTATCCAGCTTGCATCACTATATCCCTCAAGAACAGGAGGATATTTACCGTAATGCAAACACAAGGAAATAGTTCCTTTTAAGTATCTAAATACTCTATCTAAGGCTTCCCAATGAGTTCTATTCGGACAACAAGTGTACCGACTTAACTTAGACACTGAAAATGCAATATCAGGTCTAGTACAGTTAGCTAAGTAACCCAAGCTACCAATCATCTGAGAATATCTTAATTGAGACACAGGAACACCACTTTCATTTTTATACAAAGCTACTGAAGGATCATAGGGTGTTTTAGCAATTCTACTATTTTTAAATCCAAATTTCTCAGTTAATTTTTCAATATAATGCGACTGAGAAATAGAAATTCCTTCAGTTGATCTAGTCAACTTTAGTCCAAGAATTACTTCGGCCACCCCCATATCCTTCATTTCAAACTTTGTTTTCAAAAATGATTTAGTCTCAAAAATAATATTATCATTAGTGCCAAATAATAATATATCATCAACATATAGGCATAAAATAATACTAACATCACCTTTACATTTATAATAAACACTTTGATCAGCATCTATAAGGGTAAATCCAAACGAAAGAATTATTTTATCAAATTTTTCGTTCCATTGCTTAGGGGCTTGCTTAAGTCCATATAAAGACTTAACTAATTTACAAACTTTTCTCTCATTGCCTTTTGCCACAAATCCTTCAGGCTGGTCCATATAAATTTCTTCTTCAAGGTCACCATGAAGAAAGGCTGTCTTAACATCCATTTGATGAATTTTAAGACCATATACGGAGGCCATTGCTATAAGCATTCTAATTGTGGTCATTCTTGCAACCGGAGCATATGTATCGAAAAAATCAATACCTTCTTTTTGTTTGTAACCCTTAGCAACTAATCTGGCCTTATATTTATCAATGGTTCCATCTGGTTTTAATTTCTTCTTAAAAATCCATTTACATCCAATAGTAGTACACCCGGGAGGAAGATCAACAAGCTCCCATGTTCCATTTTGAACAATGGAGTCCATTTCACTTTTAATGGCATCCTTCCAATGCATGGCTTCGGAAGTAGCCATTGCATCTTTAAAGGAAACTGGATCACCCTCAATATTGTAAGTGATAAAATCACTTCCAAATTCCTTAGTGATCCTAGCCCGTTTGCTCCTTCTAGGCTCATCTAGTTCATTTGATTCAAAACTAGCGAGACTAGTACTACTAGATTCTACCCCCACATTTGTCATCTTTTCCACTTGATCAGGAATTGAATTAAATGTGGTTTCTTGATTTTTAAAAGAAATATTTTGGAGAACACCCGTTTTCATTGGGAAAACATTTTCAAAGAAAGTAGCATCACGAAGTTCTATAATAGTATTAACATCTATGCCAGAAATTTCAGATTTAATAACCAAAAATCTCAATGCATAAGAATGTTCAACATAACCAATAAAAATAGCATCAACAGTTTTAGGCCCAAGTTTCTTTCTTTTGTGTTCAGGGACTAATACTTTTGCAAGACAGCCCCACACTTTAAAATATTTTAAACTTGGTTTTCTGCCTATCAAGAGTTCAAATGGACACTTGTCTTTATGTTTCATGGGAATCCTGTTCAGAATATGGCAGGCCGTATTCAAGGCTTCCCCCCACATAAACTTAGGTAATCCAGAATTCTCTAATAAACTGTTAATCATATCTTTAAAGGTTCTATTTTTCCGTTCAGCTACTCCATTTGATTGTGGTGAATAAGGAGGTGTTTCTTCATGTACTATACCATATTTTTGGCATTCTAGTACAACTAAATTAGAAGTGTACTCTCCTCCCCTATCAGATCTTAACCTTTTAATTTTCTTGCCGGTTTGATTCTCTATTTCATTCTTAAAAATTAAGAATTTTTCAAGAGCTTCATCTTTACCCTTAAGTAGATACACATAACAGTATTTAGAATAATCATCAATAAAAGTGATAAAGTATTTCTTCTTGTCACGAGTCAACACTCCATTAAACTCACAAATGTCGGTATGAATTAAATCAAGTAATTCAGAATTTCTATCAATTGAATGATATGGTTTTCTTACTTGTTTTGTAGTAGCACATACCATACATTTCTTAGTTTTATCAATAGAGTGTTTAGGAATTAAATTTAAATTCATCATTCTTTTTACTGAATCTAAATTAACGTGACCCAAACGATAATGCCATAAAGTTGAAGAATCACAATTCTCAGATACATAATTTAATTCAAAATAATCAACCACAATCTTAAAAAGTCCATCCGACAAGTAACCCTTGCCAATAAAAAGTCCACCAAATAAAATTACAACTTTATTAAATTTAAAAGATAACTCATAACCCTCCCTAACTAGAATGGAACCACTAACAATGTTCCTTCTAATTTCGGGAACGTGATGCACTCCATGCAAAGTAAGTATTTTTCCCGAAGGAAATTTTATTTCTACTTTTCCAACTCCATGCACACTAGCAGCACTTGTGTTTCCCATCATCACTGTTCTTCCAACCGCAGGCTGATAAGAAACAAAGAGCGATTTATCAGCACATACATGCACATTCGCTCCTGTATCTATTAGCCACTCATTGGAATTATATATAGTGAAAACTTGAGGGTTAATAGAAACATACCCATCGGAACTAGTTCCTCCAGTCACCACGTTGACTTGAGGTCCACCAGATTGAGCCTTAGCCTTTTTATTTGGGCATAATTTGGCCCAATGCCCCATCTGTCCACAGTTCCAGCATGGCCGGTTTGCCTTTGGTTTCTTTGCAATTTTTAATTTGGCCTTTATTGGTTTAAAAGATGATGGTTGTTTATTTTTAGAATTTTGTGACTGCTTTCCCCCGGTTACAACATGAGCCTTTGGCTGAAATTCAACAGGCACAATATAACCCGCTTTCTTATGTTCTTCCTCAACAGTAATGGAATGCATCAAACTTTTCCAAGTTATCTTTTTCATTTTGTGTTTTAAAGTCAAACCAAAATCTTCCCACGATTTGGGGAATTTTTCAATTACAGCCATGACTTTAAATTTTTCAGGCAATTCCATATCTGCTTCACGGAGAGAATGTAAGATAAGCTCAAATTCTTGTGTTTGTTCTAAAACAGATTTTCCCTCTTTCATGTCGAATCTCAAGAATTTGGAAACAATATACTTTTCTAGACCGTGGTCATCAGTATTATATTTCCTATCCAACTCATCCCAAAGGTCTTTAGCCGTGCCGTGGAGGGTGCAATAGACATCAAATAACATGTCGGAGAGTCCCAACAATATCATTCCTTTGGCTATTTCATTCCTCTCACGCCATAAAGTTTGGCGTTCAAGACTTTTGGGATCAGACTCGACAATGGGGGGACACACCGTCATAATTACCGAGAGCAATCCCTTGGTGATTAACCAAATTTTCATGCGTTGTTGCCAACGCTTGAAAAAATGCCCGGAAAATTTTTCAGGCATTCCCGTCAAATCAACCCTGTGAGAGCCCGTAGCAACAAATTCAGGTGTGTCACCAGAATTAGTCACAAACACAGAATTAACATTATTTTCAGGGGTTTCATTCACATTATTCTCAACAACAACGTTTTCAGAAGTAGCAGCATTTTCCAAGTTCGTCATATTGGATTTTCAAAACTCGAGAAATAATATCTTTCTTCAAGATTGTTAGAAAAATAGTATAAATAATGCGAGTTCAGTCAGATAAAATCCCGAGTTTAATCACAAATCACCAGACAAACCACCAAATGCAAGAACAAATAAAATAATAACAACAATTAGATATAAAATATTAATGTAAAAAGTAAAGAAAGAAAGACTTAGCGTAAGATCGTCCGTTAACCGGACTGGCCTTGAAGAAAGATAGCCCCCGTATCTCGATAGCTACTCGAACGGGACTGGCCAACTCGCTCCCAGGATAATCCTACACCGTTTCAGACTTGTAGCTACCTTGACTGAAACCTTCGACCGTTGCCCAATATGCCGTAGACTCGTTAAGTAGATAAAAACTTTATGAGGATGCTATGGATTTAATATGCTCTCGGTACAAGGGTAAAATCAGTGAAAGAAAAAAAATGAAGCCTTTTCTATTCTTCTCAGTGCTCTGTATTGCGTAAGTAAGCCAAAATGAATCGGAGTGTAGACTGGCTTTTATTCATACGTATGTGTATTAATAACCGAGAGCATGCATGTGGATAGATTTTTAAATTTGGAAATCAAAATAAAATATATCAATTTGAGTGCGGTCCTATCAATTTGCATCCACCATCCAAGAAATTAGGATCACAAACAATATTGACCAAGCTCACACCTCATACATCGGACACTCACTTCAAAATTTCAATTTTGAAACTTCCGAAATATGTTTAATAGCCACATGCGTATTTATCATTATAAAATGATAAATAAAACATAATTTGAACATTTGTTCTAAAATTAGATAGGCCACTAGCTTGAAATTACATCCCAGACATTCTTATTCCGTACTCATTTAATTTTATCTGTACGAATAAGTGATTCTCATAGGATAATTTCTAAGCCACTTTATATGATACTTGAATAACGTTCCTTTATCATATAACATCTAAAGAAGACCAATCATTTTATAAATAGAACAAAAATTCTCAATACATCACTTTTACAATCTTTACAACTATGGATTTTAATCATTAAATGATATAAATCCAAACGTAAAAAATTGTTCTTTGATGTATAATAAGCCACACTCAATTCATATTTTATACATATTATTTTAGAACTCTAAGAGAACTAAAAACAATAACATTTATATCATCATTTTTCCAACACTCTACGAACGCAGTCGTCGTCGTCGTCATCTGAAGCCGATGACGAGCTGGAGAGCGTGCCGCCGGGAACGTACTGCGTGTGGCGTCCGAAGAAGATCGAGACGTTTCCGAGTGTCTGCGAGAAGAGCAGTTCTACCGGATCGGTGTCAAAGCGAGGGAAGCTTCGAAAGTTGTTGCGCCGTATTAACAGTGACGGAAATGAACGTTTCGTGTTTCTGACTCCGAAAGGGGCCGAGAAGTCCAAGCAGTCTGGCGTTGTGCCGGAGTTCACCGGGAAAACAGAGGCGAAGAAGATTAAAGGCGGCCCAGCGGCGGCGCCGATGGCGGCTCACGAGGCGTTTTACTTGCGGAGTAAAGCGGCCAAGGAAGGCGAGAAACGGAAATCGTATTTACCGTACCGACGAGAATTAGTTGGCTTCTTCGCTAACGCCAACCCAGCCGGATTTGGGAAGACTTCTCGTTCCAATTAAAACCAAATTCAGATCTCACGATCTTCTTTTTGTTTCTTTATTATTTCGGGATCCGTGGAGACATAATGTTAAATTATTGTACAGTTTATTACGGAGTAGTTTAATTTCACTTTTACTTTGACTTCATCGATTCGCATTTAATTGTGATTGTTTTGATTTCAAGTTGGCCAGCACATAAGTTTAAATGCTACTGCGTGAATACTGACTGATACCATTATACATTTATACTCCATAATTAATAGAGAAAAAGATCATTACATAAGCCCTGGTTTCAATCCCAATTTAGATGCAATTGTATGTACACATTATACACTTGTATGTACAAATCATACATTCATAATTGTAAAATATATAACAAATCAGACATTTACTCCCTCCGTCCCGAAAACAACTTCCCGGTTGGACTTTCACACACTTTTAGGAAATAAATTTGACTTTACTGTAGAATGCACTGTTTTGCACTGTTTAAACACTGTTTGGCACTGTTTAAACACTGTTTGGCACTGTTTAAACACTGTTTGGCACTGTTTATCACTTTTTTGATGTAGATAATTTGCCAAATAAGGAAAGTATTGAAGTGTGAAGTTAATTTTGGGACATCCATTTAATGAAAGTGGGAAGTTGTTTTCGGGACAGAGGGAGTACTTGATAAGACAAGTTGAGATTAGACTCAAGATAAATTAGATCAAACTAGATCAGTCCTTTAATGTTTAATCAAAGGATATCTTTTGACTAAACCAATGTTTTACATAACATTTCACTTTGCCGTTCTAGGCCCACACGTCAATGATAAATTGTGGACACATTTTTCGAATTAGATGGACAAATTAACATACATTCTATATCACAATAGAAACTAGAAACAGTGCCGTGCCTTCTCCTAGGCCACTAGGCCAGTGAGGCTCGGGCCTCAGGGCCCCAAAAAACATCAAAAAATTAGGGCCCAAAAAATTAAATACTTTTATATTATATAGGGAAAATTCTCAAAATAGGAGTAAAAATGTTTGAAAATTGTAAAATAAGATTGAAAAATCTTGTTGACTATACCCATGAAAGTATATACCAAATGTAGAAAGAAGTTTCTCAAAACTGAAGTTTATAATGACATCTTTACAATTAATGATGTATGTAAAAAGGTACGTTGAATGAATTAGCTATGTTATCAATCCTTTGGTTATGCCGAATTTATTAATACTTTTGCATCTAAAATTGTTCGGAAAGTTGTATTTAACTAGTTTTTTAATTAATTCAGTACTATTATGCTATAATGTAAGAATTTTATTTAAATATTGATTTTTTGTGATATTTATTTTTTATTTCCAAATATGTTGTATTACAAAACAAATACGTAGTACTACATATAGGGCCCTTTAATGAAGTTCGACTCAGGCCCTAGTTACCGGCAATGACTAGAAATTTGGCACATTCAACCAAATTAAGGTGACTACTTATTTTAAACTCCTAATTAAGATGAGCAATAGGGATGTACTTTGTTAATGTATGAGTATGTAGTTACGTAAAGTACAAAAATGCATACTACGTATTATACATTTCACTATTGGGTGGTTGGATATGCTTCTTAAAACTTTGCTTATGATTCTTCAAGATGCAAAAGCAGATATTGGAGTGTTTGTGTGGAAGTGCAGAAGTACTTATGGATGTTCCAAATTACTTTTAGAAACAAAATTTTAGAAATCAGGAAGTACAACTTCAGAAAAACTAATTTTGATTCTGTTTTTTTTTTCTTTAAAAAAAAGTAGAAGTAAAATCAATTGCAAATACCGTACCCCCTTTATAACATTTTTATGTTGTCATATACTCCGTAATAAATATATAGATTTCTTCATGTCAGTGAATGTACCACACCCTTATGACATAACAGAATTTGTCAATCAAAATTAATTAAATAAAAAATAGCTTGACATTAGGGTCCCATTGATAATCAATATTTTCAATTTAACTGTACTCTCCGTATTTTCTACCAAGTATATAACTTTCAAATATAAGTTGAACTATCTAATAATCAAAATAAGTTGAAGTTACTACTTAACTAAAATTGTTGAAGATGATAATTTAACGTGTGAAATAAAAATTTTGTTTTTCAATAAAAAAAAGTTGACTAATAAAATGAAAAAAATGATTTCCAATTGTATTCTATTTGAGTGCATTCTAATTTGATATACGTTTAGGATGTTTTCTTTTGGACTGAAATTTGCTGGTCTGGTCTGGTCTGATCTGGTCTGAATCGGTCTGGTAAACGTCTGGTCTCGGTGTATTTTATAACTACAGAAGTCAAGTCTGTTCTGGTCTGGTCTGACCTGGTCTAGTCTAATCTGGTCTGGTGTGGTCTAGGACTGAAAACCGTCCAAAAGAAAACATCATTGGTCATTTGGAGCATTTTCCTGTAACACGAGAATTTATTAAATTGAAAGAATATGCATAAATTGGTAAAATTAAGGATGTCACGGTTAAATTGTGTTTTCTTTATCAATTCGGAAAAGTTACTCTAATTCTGGTTTTTATTATTATTACCGAAATATAGATTATCAAATTAGGAAAAGTTACCCTAATTCTACTTTTTATTATCACTCTAATTCTACTTTTTATTAAATAAAACCCATACTGCATAAAAATTTACACAAAAAATAGGGATTTAATAATGTTGCATAAACTCGCTTTTTTTGTCATTTCGGATTTCGTTTTTTAGGAATATTCGGATTTCGTAGATAAAATGTACATTATTAAAATAAATAAATAAAAAATAAAATACATTCAGTCTTAATGGGTAAGGAACCATAGGCCATGGCAGTGTGAAGTACTAGTACTAATAATAAACCAACTTTAAATGAATTAATTGACCATCAAACCTAATTAACATTAATTAATGTTGTCAACATCGAGACAATGCCACCCGTAAGCGATGACGA